ATTACGTACAATTTCAAACAATTCATTTTATAAACCTATATTATTATTAGGAAACATTTATTTTTTTCGCCAACGCCATCTATTAGCCGATGGTCAAAATATTTAAATTTGACAACCTCTAAACTGTTATCTTAAATATTAGAATGGTTAATTCGTCTATTTATATCTAGAGGGCGTTAATCAGTATATTTAATCTAAATAAAATTTAATTCCTGTAGAACTATAAACACTTGTCCAAGAACCCATTTTAGTGCTTGTAGGGTTTAAAAAGTTTTTAAATTTGTTTGTCTTAATTGTTCGTCCGTTCGTGAAATATTTTAATAATTTTAATTAATAGTTTTAGACCTACTTTGTTTATGTGTTTTGACATCAACTTTTTGTTGCAACTATTGTTTTTTATGTATTTTAAAAAATACTCGCATACTTGTTTTTACACCGACCCTGGGATAATTCTCTTAGCTTAGTCTTAAATAGATGAGTAATTACGGGTGAGTTCTTGATATTTGACAACTTTCATATTAAAATGTTTAAACCCACTTTATTAGTTATGAGCTCATTCGTTTTTCCTCTCTCTTTTAGACCTTACCTGATGATGAGGATCTGATCCTCGAAACCGGTCCTAATAAAATACTCTTGTGAGATCCTAAGGACTACCCTCGTTTGATTTACCTTTTTTGAATTTTTTAACTATTGATCTAGAAAGCAAACCATAAGTGTTGTATAATACTGCTTAAGCAAGGAAGCGACATAACAAAACCACAATTTATACATTAACAACGGTGTGATCGACGGCTGTTACATCGGCCAGGGACTCGTTTAGCAGGAGAAGATACTTCAGTTACTGAAGAATGCTACTGCGTTTGAAGATCAAATACCTTCCTTAATAAAATTTATTTGTAAATATGTAAATAAAGAATTTGAAATGAATGAATGAATAATGGTGTCGGGGGGCGAAGATCTGCCTCAGCTTTCTGCTCGTAGACCTCTTACCTCCGTCGTGTATTTACCCAAAGCAGTGGACTTGCTTGAAGTAGTCGTGGAAATTACACTCAAATTTTCTTATGTTTGGTTTTATTCACAGCTTTATTTACATGTATTTAACTTATAGTATATGTAGTTACAATGATGATGATAATGATATTAAGGCATTAGCAAGTTCAAGTTTCTTTTTATGTAGTATTTAGTAAATTAGTAAATTAATGTAAATTATTTTTGCCCCAGCTCGTAGCATGGTAGCAGTGTTGAATGAACGGATGAAAGCAACGCGATATAATGCACTGGTGCAAGGTGCGAATGCAATGGCTTATTTTCTGACATATGCCGGTTATATAGTCGACTGTTGCTAAGCGTCTCTTGCACTTATGGAGGGGTTGAACTGACCGTGTCTCACATCGATATCGGTTTTACCAATGAGTGCAAGAGAGCTATTTAACGTTTTCTAGTTTTGTCTTTCTCTATGAACAGAAGAATAATGTTTTTCGTCGTAAGACTGTTTAGCAATTTCTAAAAATAGATTGTGAGCTTTGGTTTTGTTGAAGACTGCTTTGTAATTTCTAAAAATAGATTGTTAGCTTTGTGCACAGGGGCGGCTTTCAGATAAGTTGATTATTATAAAATGTTTTAAATAAATTGGACAATATTGATTTTTATTATAGGGTGATGCTTTAACTTGTTCGAACACCTTTGATTGGTTTTCGAACAAATGGAGCTCAAAATAAACGTGTGAAAATTTGTACAAATAAGTTTTTCCTGGAATTCGAAAAACTGTTAAATTGTGTTCAATGTTGCCAGGGTCGGCTTTCGATTTGTAGATTGATAAATTCGGTGATATAATGTACTGAATAAATAATAAATAATAAAATATATTGTATTTCTTATTTATATATTATTTATTTGGGGTGATTTATGTGAAATATTAATAAAGTAATTGAAGTATTTGTGAAAAAATGCTTGACATTTTTGAACAGCGCTCTTAATACACAAATAGCTATTTTGTCTTTGAAGTTAAATTAATTTATTTTTCCTGTTCTGATTTAAAATAATGTATTATTCTGATCGGTGGCAGTTCCAATAATATTATCATCGCTCTGGAAGGCAACTAAAAAGATGAAAAATTCGTGTAAACACTGTCCTCTTATCAGAATAGCAGATAACAAATGGGCAAAAGTTAATGAACAGAAAGCTGATATTTTCGCTGACCACCTACAAAAGACGTTCCAATTAGATGAAAATCAAGAAACTTCATAAAATGGAACAACTTGAATTTAGACTTATTACTTCCAATGAAGTTACGAAAGAAATTCAGAAAGCACCAGGATATGGCCTTATTACTGGAAAAATATTAAAGAAATTACCACAGAAGGCTATTGTTAAATTGACATACCTCATATATGTAGCATTTTGCCTTAAAAATATACCTGATGCGTGGAAAATGGCTGAAGTGATCCTAATTCCTAAGCCAGAAAAACCTCCGAATAAAGTGTCTTATATACTTATATCATTGTTACCGATAACATCTGTTATTTGAAAAACTACCACTAAAACGACTAAAACCAATAATTGAAAATAATAATCTGATCCCTTCACACCAATTTGGTTTTAGAAACAAACACTCGACAATAGATCAAGTACACAGGATATCATCGAAAAAGCTTACGAAGAAAAATATATATGCTCAGCTATATTTCTTGACGTAGCCCAAGTATTTGACAAGGTCTGGCACGCTGGTCTGATACAGAAATTTAAAAAAATGTTCCCTGGCAGTATGTCCTATGTTTCTTGAGAGAATCTTGGACACCAACGCTTTCTAAAAGGAAAACGTATAGTTCACTCTGGACAGTAGAGTGATGGTGTCACATGGTGTGGACATATAAGTAAAGATATGACATATATTGCTAATAATTTAAATGGGGGAAAGTTATTTGTAATAGGGTAAAGTCAACATTGGATAATGGGTTAGGAGGGCATACGAGAAATTTAAAAACGATTTAATAAGGAGAGATAAAACGATGAAACAACTTCCATATGCCCTCCTAACCCTTACCCTACTACAAATTACTTTCCCCCATTTAAATAATTAGCAATATTTATCCTATCTTTACTTAAATGTCCACACCAGCACTCTACTGTCCAGAGTGAATTACACGTTTTTCATTTAAAAAGCATTGGTGTCCAAAGTGCTATGCTTAATTTGCCCCATCGAACCAATAGCAACTTTCACGTTTCCTTCTTCCCTTACTACAGAGTCCTAAGGTTGACACATGTTTTCATGCTGGTCGCCATCTTGAACGTTTTTGACTGTTGACAGTTGTCGTCTTTTGAAAGTTCGCCGTTTGACACGACTTTGGGACTTTTGGAGGATCACCATCTACTGACAGAAGACGTCATTTCGTGGCGACTCCTGTACCTTCTACTGTCAGGTACCAATGTTGACAACACTGAATGGTGGATTGACAGCTGACAGATATTGATAATACTGGATTCCTAGCTGACAGTTGGTAACGCTGGATTGACAGTTGACATGACAATTGACATATGATAGCTGACAACCGCTGAAATATGAGATATGCCGCGTTTGCGCAGTTTAAAAAGAGCTGTGGCTCAAAAAAGTGGAGGGGTCCTCCAAAGTAAGGCAATGCCTGCTATAGTACGCCTTAGACACCATATACTTAAATAAACTGTGTCATAGAAAAGCGATCAGCCAAAGAGCAATGATGTACCAAAAAAAAAAGAGATTAACACGTATGAAAATAAAAATATTAAAATTAAATTTATGTTTTTGTTGTTTATATAATTTTAAAATATTGTGTTTTTATTAAATTTAACGGCACCACAAATGAACCAATGGAAAAACCGCCCCTGATTCTAAGTCAAAACAATCGTTTTTTTTTTAATTCTAAGTTGGAAACAAAAAATATATTGAGGTACTTTTACCGTTCCATAATAACCAGCTTCCTGTGAACTGGTGCAAACTATTTGAAATCAAAGATATTATTCCTGTTTAAGTTTTTGATTGAAATCGCTGGATTATTGAAGCATTTGACTTATTTACGGTCTCCCATAATTTTATTCCGTGTGACCACACCGATTTAACGATCACTTTGTACACCATTAACTCATTGCTTAACGGTAACTTTGATTTTCGCTCAATTAGCCAATTATAACTTTGAGGACATAATACCTAATTTAGGAAATGTGGAACAAATTGTGGTAAATATACGAGTCGACAGCAATTATATTTAATTTAAACAAGGTTTAATATTAATTATTTGTTATTGTCCGAGTGTTGTATTATTCGACAGCAATGTCATTCTCTTAAACTATGTGAAATTACAATTAATGCTCAAAATCGTTATTAAAAAAATGATGGCCTTTGATAATATAGATTATTATTTTCTATATTGGAAATTGGTAACATTGCAGGTTTATTTTAGTTGGTGGTTAATATTTCCTAATATTTATATCTTTTAATCGATAAATTCATTGTAATCTAAAATATCATCGTCTAGGCAATGCATAAATTTTCATTTCAATCTTCAAAGAAGTAGAAAACCCCGAGGTGTCTAAAATGTAAGGCTCGAGATCGCAATTTGATAGAGAATGAAAACCGAGATCTTTATGCAAATATTTAAGGAAGTAGGACTTAAAAACAGCAATTGCTAGTATTACTTTTGAATAGAATATTTTGAATTAATTGTGCTTCAGAGCATCACCATCGCGATTAACGTTTTCATAGTTTCCACCTCTTTTGTGTGGGTCTTAATTTCATATTCGTATTCGAATCCCTTTCTACATAACAACCAGCGCATTTCCTTTTGCATTAAACGAAGCTTTCCCACAACAACTGATATTTAAGTACATTCTGAATATTTTTACTTTTCCATGACTATTTATTATACGCATGCAGACATAATTTGTTAGGAATATTTACATATTGTATATTCATATCTAAATTTCACAAAACGCATTGTTCTTTCTTTAAAACCCTCTATTTTTTTACAGATAAGTAACAACTGGATAATGGGTCCAGAGCTATGTGACATGTGGACTTCCATCGATGTTCTCTGTTGTACAGCTTCAATCTTACATTTAGTGGCCATAGCCGTCGACAGGTAATATTGTTTATTTACAATCTTAATAATAATGAGTAGGATTTTCTTTACCATTAAGTGAAATGGTACCACAATAATGTCATAGTAACTAATAATAATAGCCGTCCCTTCTCCGCACAAGCTCAGTCGGTTTTCTTTGGTTTAAAATTTATTCGTAAGGGTGAATTATAGGTGTGATATTTTAAGGGGATAAAATAAAACTAGTTCACCAATTTAAACCCGATATATTTAACTACTGAATATTACAGATACTAATATTTTTGAATGTGTAGTTCGCTTCAATCAGTACGCCAAATAAACTTTTTGCGTACCTCGATAAAACGAACTTTGTTTATACAGGATGGACCTATATCAATATAATTATATTACAATATCCTCCCCTTTAAATCTGAAAATAATCTTTATTTAAAATTGCAACTATAACTAAGTTGGTTATTTTCTTAAATGTTTTCCTCTTCTCAATGTATCAGATTCAAAATTGTTATCAGATTTGTTATTAGGGGTTGTTAAAATAGTATCGTCTTTGTTATCAAATTTCTTTTAATCATTAATTTTGAAGGAGTTAATCCCGTGGAACAATGCGGTGTACTTCTGTATTCCATTAAAATATTATTAAACTATTTTTAATGGTTTTAACAGAATTTTCCGCTGCACCGTTCGTAGCAGGATGATATGGAGGATTATACTTAATTTCAACATAATTTTGTTTTAAAAAAACTATTAAACTGGACAGAAGAAAAATACGCTGCATTGTCTGAAACTAATTCTTTAGGAAACCCAAACCTCGCGAATAACCCTCGTAATACTTGAATAGTATTTAAACTCCCTGTACTACTTAATACTAAAACATCTGGCCATTTCGAAAATGCATCTATGATTACTTAAATTTGTTTACCAAAAATAGGATCTAAAAAATCAATATTGTTACGCAGTAGCCTGCGGCTATTGTAGGAAACGTACAGATAGAAAAAGAAGTGGAATGTTACTCATCGCCCTACAGCGTGCTGCCGTCGTCATAATTTAAAGTACAAGTAAAAGAAGATAGAATATTTCAGAAATGTCTGGAATATTCTAGACGACAGTTCGAGAAGGTTCGAGCAAGCTATATAAGGATGATCCTGACGTCAATGTTCAGTTTTATGATAGACGTTATATCGCTGTTCCGGTAAAACAATGACGCAAGTGCAAAATTATGATTTTAACATGTCATTAGTTTCCAAATTAGTCTCTCTATACGGTATAACAATGGCGTAATTTTATATCCACTCGCGGCTGCTAGATGGTAGTTGCATCAGTTTTTAAATATTAACGTTTGCCCCTCCACTTTTGGAAAACAATGACACGTGAATCAGTTTTGTCTGCAACTTTAAGAGAGACATTACTTACTTCTTTGTGATTTATGTGCCCAAATTTGGAAGTAATAATATACATGTTTCGTCCATATCGTCCCCTTAAACTCAGAAGGTCGTATGTAACATTTTTTGAGAAAATGACATTTTTATACCTATTAGCTAATAATAATGAGTACTGTTTCCTGGATAAAGATTCTATATGAAAGAAAATTCTAACACCATTAAAATTCAAAAAAATTAAAAGCCGTATGTGCATTTGGAAACAAGTAGGTATAAGGAAAAGGTCTCAGGTGACAAATAAATTTGTATGTCTTTTTGAACTAAGTTTTTAGAATGGCTTAAAGTATTATGTGAATTTTTTTCATTTGCGTCTCTTTATTAATAAATAAAATCAAAAATGTCCTTCAACCTTTTATTAATAAAAGGTCCTATGCAGGCCAAATAACATATAAGACTCTTTGTTAACAAAAAGTAGAAAAATACAATATCTTCTACCAATTTAATAGAAAGTCGCATGTACGGAAGGAAATACATGTGATTCTATGTTAATAAAAACGTAGAAGATACATTTTCTTTAATCGATTAGTGACATAAGGTCGGATGTGCAAAAATAAACACATGCGACTTTTAGCCAATAATGCCTTCTGTAGTTAACATGAACCAAGTCATAACATAAAAGTCGGTTGTGCAGTAGTCTATACATCTGACTGTTTGCCACTATGCAGTCTGCTTTTTTGTAGTTGCTAGTTATTAGGTAGTAATTTAAAATATTGGCCAGAAAACTGTAAAAAACACAATAATGTGATACATTTATGACAATCAAATTTTGGGAGATGAAGTTTTTTGATGTGAGTCTGAAACTCTAACTACTAAAAAAAACGTTATAAACATCCCATCTGGCGATATCATCGAAATTAAAAGATGTGTAATATTGACAGCAGATGGTATTATTTTAAATGATAATGTCGAAAAATCCGTTAATGACTTAGTTAATGTACAGTTATTAGAAAACAATGTACAATACACAGATCACAAAGATGCTGATACCAAATATTACTTTGAGAATTATAAACATATATTCAATGGTATTCTGATGTGTAACGATGAAAATTATTATCCAAATATTCTTACAAATACAGATAAAAACTAAAACTAAACACAGACCAAGAATTAGGAATTAGGAAAGAATATTTAAATGTTATAAGATACGAACCAGTTGCCAATGAAAACAAGTATTAGAAATTAAAAAATTAAAAAAACCGACTTCAAATACGTGCAGATGCCATCACCACATCTTAACCAAATTTATATGGGACTACCCCTGGGGTACCCCCTTACTAACAAAAAAGAATCATATAAATCGGACAAGGTGGTAAAGCATTATCGCTAAACATACATAAAAAATGAAGAGTTTGAGGATTTTCTCATGGACCCAATTATTAGATTTTGACTAAATTTATATGGGACCACCCCTTAAGTACCTCCTCTCTAACAAAAAAAGAATCATTGAAATCGGACACCGTGTTAAAGAATAATCGCTGAACATACATAAAAAAAAATATCGCGACGAATTGATAACCTCCTCCTTTTTTGAAGTCGGTTAACTAATGAAATAGAAAATGAGCAGCATAACATCGGTGAGTATACTTATGAAATCAAAGATAATAATGAAGAAAAATTAATCGAGAAAGAAGAAAAATGGATTAACAACAATGAAGGACAACCAGTTAATACAGACCAGGATCAACAAAGAAAAGATGATGTAAATAATATCACATACAAACCAACTGCTAATGAAATGAATGAGTTTGAGGAAAAGTATAGCAGTAGTGAATAATGGTAATAATGAAGAACAACCAATAAAAAAAAAAGAAAGCAGTGAAAATAAAGAAATAAAGGAAGCGAAATAGTAATTCTACTCAATGGAAAAAGTCAATAGCAAAAAGGAAAAAGAATCTTGGAAACGAATATAAGAATAAATCAGGAAAAGTGTTTCCTCAAAGAAGAAGGACCAACTGGTTGATTGTAAACTTAAATGCAATAAAGAAGTATCTTAAGAAGATGTGAAAAAAATTAATCACTCTTACTCGAAAACAGGTTCATATGAAAGACAAATTTTATTTACAAAAATGTTAAAACGAAGTTGAGTAATAGACGAAGGAAAGGTACAAGTTCTGAAAATCCCAGGAGAAATATTACATACACATATTATTTTCCTGAAGATATTCAGATATGCAAGAAAACATTCCTGCATTGTCTTGATAGATCTGAAAAAACGATACGAGTGGCGAAAAGAAAAGAAGTTGGTGGATCATCAGTAGTCTCAAAGGATGGAAGAGGAAAATATTCACCAGAAAATAAAAAATCTGAAGCAAGAAGATAAAAAAATGAACAATCAATAGGAGAACAACAGAAGGAAGGCGTTGGTAAAAAAAAATATAGTGCACCTCTGCTTATATCAGAAAAAAAGAAGAAAACCTTTGCAGAGTAGATGCTATGCCAACTATGTATCGAAATTTTTACACATCTCTTCCTTGTAGTTTCAACATTGTCGATCGACTTCCAAAACCTGATCAGGAAAAAGATTATGATGACAATATTTAAAATATTTTTTCACATATTTAGTTCTTTTGTATTTTTATTAAATTAAAATTGACAAAGGTTGGCATTTTTTAACTACCTATTATTTATGAAATTATAAAAACAAAAGGTCGTATGTGCATCCCAATTCAAAAAATAATTATTTTTACGATTTTAATTAGAAAGAACTACAAACGTTTTATTTATCGATTTTAAAAACTCGAACCCTATATCCTAAACCCTCAGGTCAAACTTTGTAATGCCTGTCATAATATTTCTCAAAAAAACATACTATGAAAACGTATTTTATCGATTTCTCCATTTTTTTGATATCGATATCTAGGAATTTTAGTTACAGAATTTGTTCCAGTTAGAATTTACACTCTGTATATTGACTTATAATTAAGCTCCGTTCCTAATATATTATGTTGTTCTATTTTACAGGTATTGGGCCGTAACTAACGTAGATTATATCCACACACGAAATAGCTACAGAATAGGAGTAATGATAATAATAATATGGGCCATCGCATTGGTCGTATCTCTCTCCCCCCAAATACCTCAATTTAAGGATCCCGACTATCTCTTCAGGATAAACGAGAAGAAGCAGTGTTTGGTTTCGCAGGACCTCAAATATCAAATATTTGCCACTAGTTCCACATTTTACGTTCCTTTGTTGATGATATTTATTTTGTATTGGAAAATATTTCAAACGGCCAGAAAAAGGATACGAAGGAGGAGACAGATGAACTCAGAGAATTTGCGGCCGCATAAGACGAAAATAGGTGAGTTTAAAAAAAAATATACGAAATTTTTGTAGTAAAAATATTCCTTAAATGGTTTTTAGAATTTAAAAAAAAAATATTTAGGCATTTTTATTAAAAATGCCCGTTTTTCGTGCAGTTGATTGTAGTTAAAAAAAAAAACAGCTATTTCATGATTTTTTCGAAATATGTAAATTTTTTAAAATAACGTTATCGTAGAAAAAATCTTGTATATAACTCAAGCGAAAATATTGCTTTCTGTCTCAAGCTGCAAAATATCACATCAATTCAAAAATAGCTTTTGAAACTGTACCTTATAAAGTATCTTAACCTAATTAAATAACACTTTTTGTAACATGGAACTCAGATAGACACTTTACGTTCTCAACTATGATTGGTCTTACAGTGATGTTTTGATGTTAAATAACAATCCAATTAGCGTTACCACTACTACTATTACTAAATCCTTTCAGGATTTTATTCAATTAATTGCTAATTGAGAATTCTCAAGTTTTAAGAGGTATCAAAATACAAAACAATACATCCTTTGCATTTAAGTGCAGCTCCTTCAAACCAACATCCCTTTCATGTATAAATAACGCAATTTATAGTGAAACTCTTGTTATGGCTCGGAGCATAAACTTTAGTTTGTGAAGACCTTTTTAGGATAATTGCCGGAAACTATTCCAGCAAGTTTTATATGTCGTTAAATATGGAAATCCGTCCTATTCGTAATGACTACTCTTACGAGCATTCCTTGATGGTATTGCTCATTTACCAGTAATTTCCTTTATGCATGTGGTTCAGCGGTTAACATTAGTGACCAACAGTTACTCATTTACAGGACCATAATTATAAAAATAACAAATTAATACTACGGGTATGAGTTCATCTTAGAAACGAAGAAAAAATATATACAAAATAAATTAGTTTCCACTTATTTCAGCAAGTTAAGGAAATTTTGAGAAGCTTATGTGAAAAACCATAGATTAAATAGATTAAAGACCGATTTTTTCTGCTCTGAGTAAAGTTACATGTAGGTTTACTTGACAAATTAACAAACAATAGCCCTGCAGTTTATTCAACTTTATTCAGAGGTGAAAAGACTAGCCCTAAGTAAATAAAAATAAGCAAAATAAATAATAATAATAGATTCAATTACCCTTATCCACCGCGACCTTTTTAGATCTTTTGTTGGACTCCGTTATTTAGAGTGTGTCGTCCAGCCGGTTTCTTTTTAGTGGATGTGTTTTTTATTAGACGACTTTTTATTAGATTAAATAACTTTGAAAGTGGGTCCGGCATTATACTCGCTATTATTCATCTAGGACAAAAACCTAACTCTCGATAGGCCTTGAATAATAACAACAATAAAAAAGCCAATAAGACATTTTTAAGACGCTTTTATTAGGTTGGTATGTATATATCTATGTATCTATGTAACCGAATCTTTGAACGTCACATACTTTGATTTTCTTTTACTATACGGAGAATGGTGGCACTGCGCAGCTTTCTGAGTGCCTTTTAAAAGGAGATAGAAAACTCCTCCATTTTGAACCCTTATTACGTGTTGCCTACATCTTGGCGCAATATTTTTAATAGGTGCGTTTTAATCATCCGCTTCTGCTTCGGAATTGTCGGTTTTCTTGTTTTAATCTGATAGGTTAAAACGACTAAAGCGACAATTCCAGAAGCAGATGCAGATGATTAAAACGCACCTGATATTTTGCTTGCTGCTGTCAGTGTCAGTGAATTATTTTTGAAGTCACAGTTTATTGCTAAAGAATCAGTTAGCTCACTCGGACCAGTTGAAAGTTCCAAAATAACATCCACTCCAGGGATACAAATTCAGGATACGCAGAAGACTGCTGTTTTATTATAGGCGATTGTCATATATTATATTATCCGAGTTGCACAGTGTATAAACTGAAACATTGAGATCAAAAGTGCCGACGCAGAGTGAGCGATCTGATTCTTTAGCTGTAAACTGTGTAATAGGGTTCAAAATGGCCGCGCCCTATGTTGGGCGTGTCGGACTTCTCTCTTGCCTCGTATAGTAATCAAAGTATGTGTTGAACGTGATTTTCACGACCTTCAGAACGTCGGATTGATTTGAAACATTGCACATGTTTACGTACAAAATGTCGGCAGTGTCAGTTGTGTGAAAAGAACGTTTTTTAAAAACCCTAAATAAAGCAGACACAAAGTGCACGTAAAAATTTGAAATACACTGCTCAACAATTGAAGTGGATATTTAAAAAATTTGTTCCTATTTGTCAATAATTTAAAATAAAATAAAAAAATCATGTAACATAGAAAACATTTTATTGATTATAGTTATAACTGAAAAGAAAAACCATTTAATTGAAAATTACAGGAAAATTAAAAAATTTTAAAAAGTAACAACAAAAAATTCTTGCATTGCGCACTTTACAAAATCCCTATAAAAGAATTAATATCTTGTTGGACCTCCCCTGGCTCGTCTTAGTGCTGACACTCCATTTGGCATGCTCTCTATTAAATTATTGATAAATTGCTGAGGTATGGTTTCCCAAATTGCCTGCAATTCATTACCCAACTGTTCTAAGGTTTGGGGAGGCTATTGACTTCGGTTTAATCGCCTAGACATTTCAGCTCAAACATGCTCGATACAATTCATATCTGGTGAACAGGGTGGTCAATCCATTCTTGTAATTCCATGATGTTCTATGCGATCGTTTACAATTCTCGCCCGATGAGGACGAGCATTATCGTCAATAAAAACAAATCGTTCACCTATTGCACCAAAAAATGGTACAATTATCGGCTCTCCAACCCTGTCCCGATATTGTATGGCAGTCATTGTCTCATTAGTTAAGACCACTAAATCAGTGCGACCATTATAACATATACCTCCCCAGACGCAAACTGATCCACCACCAAAAAGAGTTGTTGGGGCCATTAAATTTTTATTGTATCGCTGTCCTCTTTCTCGCCATACCAATATTCGGCCATCACACCTATACAAAGGAAATTCTCGAGAGAGTGTCAGGGTATACTCTGAAAGGTTTTCAAATCGTCGTGTACCTAGCCACCCAACTTTTGCTGCTGTTGAGAGACATCTTCGGGAGACCGGTTCCTTTGCTCCCAACACTGTTGATAATGGAAGAGAACGTTTTGTAAGGATTCCTAAAGTTGAAGAAGACATTTTAGAACGTGTTGAAGAAGATCCAGAATTAAGCACCAGATGAATTGGAAGGGAACTAGGAGTAATTAAAGATGTCGTTCATAAAGTGCTTAGAGAACAATTGCTATATCCATACCATAAGAAGCCAGTACAAGAATTATTAATCCATGATCCTCAAATTCGTTTGGGGTTTTGTCGATTTGTTAATATGCAAAGAGAAAGAGATCCAAACTTTGTCAAGAAGGTTCTCTTTACCGATGAAGAGGGTTTTACAAGAAGAGGTATAACTAATACCCATAGTGAACATGTTTATGTCATAGAAAATCCGCATGCAATAAAGGTAAACCATTTTCAGCACGAATTCAAAATTAATGTGTGGGCTGGAATAATTGGTAATTTCATTGTTGGTCCTGTCATACTTCCACGAAGATTAACTAGAGAAAATTATTTGGATTTTCTACAAAATACGTTGCCAGAATTGTTAGAAGATTTACCTCTCCAACTTCGGAGAGATATGTGGTTTATGCAAGATGGAGCTCCACCACATTTTTCTTTAAACGTTAGAAACTACGTGAATGAACAATATCCACACAAATGAATAGACAGAGGTAATGACGCACCTGTAAACTGGCCACCACGTTCCCCAGACCTAACATCGATGGATTACTTTTTATGGGGACATCTGAAATCCACAGTTTACAGGGAACCTGTAGAAAATGAGAAACAACTCTGGCAACGTATTCAAGATGCAATAAATAATCTTAGAGGTGATAAAGAAGTTATAGAAAGGATACATTTTAATTTTCTTCGACGTATAAATCTTTGTATGCGTGAAAATGGTGAACATTTTGAACAATTTTTATAAAATCTCTATTTTGATTATGTTGTAAATAAATATTTTTGTGAAACCTATACACTCTAAATTATTAAAACAGAAATTTAGCGAAAACCATGAGAGTAATCGAGTCTTATCAAGAGTACCTTTTTTAAAGTAAATAAGTTGCGCAATCTAAATTTCGTACTCAAACTCCTTTTCTTCCATTGGCGTAGAATTTTTAAAGGTGCAATTATTTAAAAAATCAAGTTCTACGCCTATGTATTATTATCGGACAAAATTTTAATATTTTTTTGCTACATAAAACTCTACCAATATACCAAATTTCAGCAAAATCGCATATGCCGTTTTAAATTTATATGGGAAAAACGATTTAAAAATTGTAACTTCAAGGCCCTCTGGAGCCCAAACGAAGCAATTTTGTACTAAGGTAATTTTACCTTAATCGACTCATTTTGGTCTAAGAAATATGTGGTATGTTTTTGTAAAGACCTCTTATAGACACCCTGTATAAAATACCCATTAACTGTAATAATAAATAAATCACTTGAAATGGGAGTGTTTCCTGAACCATTCAAAACAGCATTGTTACACCAATCATGAAATTTTTAAATGCTTTTCTTTTGAAAATGATGCGTCCTAGCAACAAAAAGTAGCTTTATTATAAAAAAACATTGTTTTTCCAAATTTTATAGTCAAAAATGGTAAAAACTGTAAAAAAAAACTAAGGGCAATTTTACCCTATGCCCCCCTCCTAATTTACCCACCTATGAAGATGATTAAAAACTAGGGTTAAGTCCGTTAAATAAAGCGTAAAAAGGTAAGTACCGCCATCGACACGAACCTGTAAATGACAGACGTAAAATAAGTAAATATTTAATAAACTTAAAAATCTTGTAGAAAAAGAAACCCTTTTCTCTACCAGTTCCAGATCTTATTCTCTTTCTTGAAACATCTTTTACAGTAATCAAGCCGGCTAGATAAATATTCTCCTTTTCCTTATTGGCAAAACCGTTATTAAATCAAGAACATGCACCCAGTAAAATACAGTAGTCACTGAATGAATAAAGCTAAAGTAGCGATCCGCATATTCCCCCACTTAGCCAAGTCCCTACCATCTTTTCAAGCAGTTGGTGCAAAAACCGGACAAGTCCTGGACTTAGCTGGTTCATGCTCCCAAGAATGCACGCGGCCATGTCCTAAACGTATATATTACCGTTCTTCTTCTTATGACTTGGCTAATTCTTGTACCAATCGATCGGAGATATTTTAATACATGTATGTAATGGAAAAAGTCAATTTCACCAAGGTCTTTAATTTCTAACACTATATATAAAAATTTAACAAAATGTTTTTGTTATATAGAAACTGTCAACAACGGCCAGGCGCATAAGAGTTTCCTATCAAAAAGAAGGTTTATGAGAATAAAGAAGGATCCAGATAAAAAATCAGTAGCAGCTGAAACATTGGTTACTTCTTTGATGACTATGGAAGGCCAGTCTACCACTACGACCGTTGATATCACGGAAGAGGAAGACAGTAGAGGTATAATATAAATTAAAATCAAATAATTATTCAAAACAGAATGTGTTAGAATATCTGAAGATTTCTATATTACCTGGATGATGTTTTTATTGTGGTATATAATCGTAGAATGTTATTGGGACATATCTTAATATAAGGATATTAAAAACAGACATTTAATGCAAAAATTTCAAACCAAAATACACTTTTCGAATTTTAAATATTTAAATATTGTTGTGATAGGTATATTACTTTCATTATCTACTTTTCAACGTTTATATTGAAGATCATCAGCTCTACAATTAATCACTCTTCCAATATTCCATTATTTTTAAGATTCTTTTGGACTTAGTTGCTACACTTTAGTTAATTTGTTAATATTAAATATATTTATTTTTTAGATAAAACTGTATCGCCACCCATTGCACCAGATGCCTCAAATCAACTCCCTCTGCCCCTTACTGAAGCTCAAAAATCACCTAAATCTACAGATTCGTCGGATAAGAGCAAGTATCAGCAAGAAACTACCGCGTTTACTATTTCCAAGCAGACAAACTTACAAAATCATGTATATCAAGAAAAAACGACCAACAATGGATCAACAGGTGACCGGAGCGAAACTATCAGTAGAGCAGGTATAAACAAAGCGTTTTCTATAATATGAGAATTTAATTTCAGATTCTAATTTATTTTAATTTAGTAACCATTATAATTATGGTCCAAATGTTATAGCAGCCGTTTCTAAAAGGTATCTACATTAAATTTCCAAGGCTAAATTATGAGGATATAGACCAATTTACCTTATTAAAAGAGTTTCAAAGGTATTATTTTTATAAACTATCCCAGTTATAGCATGATTTACATGAAATTTATTTCGGACATATCTTTTTGAGTGTTTACACTGGAATAAACAACTGTCAGACATAAATATCATGCAATAAATGTCAGATGTAACTGTACCTTAAGATAATTAGTATCTTTTTTGTGTAGGCTTTGTTTCCTAGCGCCATTTTAGTAACAGTTTTGTTAATTAGACCTCCGCCGTGAACGGTCAAGTAGAGAATCCTACTTATGCATTAGAATTGATTTTTAAATATTTAGAAATGCGTCATTGGCAAAATTTGAATCCGGGACCCATAGATCTGAAAATCTTGATTCTAATTATTGAGCCACCCACTGCCTAATTTTTTTTTTAATCCCACCAATTTCTTATAATTTTTTTAATTTTGCTCTAATTGCTTCCAATTTATTTTTAGTTGACTCTATTTTATTACAATTTCTAAAAATTTCTTTTAATTCTCCCCAATTTTATAAATTTTCTCTAATTTTTTTCAATTTAATTCCGTTTCATTCAATTACTTTTAAAATTCCTTCAATGTAATTTTTCAATGTTACAATTTAAATCAATTGCTTTCAATTTCTTTTATTTCACACAAATTTTCTTCAATTATTTTCAATTTCTTCCAATTTCCTTCAATATGACGTTTTTAAAAAAGCAATTTTAAGTGGCAGCAGCACTGCAAACATTTAATTCTATTTTAATATCTTCTATTTCTTAAATATCTCTTAAGCGCCTTTAATAATCTTTCAATTTCTTCCAGTTTCAACAATTTCTCTCATTTTTGCAAAATTTCAACAATTTTTCAATATTTTCTGATTAATTTTAATTTTATATTTTTTTATTCAGTCTTCTATTTTCCCCACAATATTATTAAGGTTTTTTTTTTCATTCCAATTATTAACCTCCAGCATAGTTAAAAGGTTAAAAAAGACCTGTTTTGGATTAACTTCGAATCTCTATTACAAGCAATTTGTACACCTATTGCCTTTTTGAGAATTTCACTTGTTTTTTAAATAGTTTAAACAATATTCTTTTAATTCCTACAATTTCTTCAAATTTATCTTAATTGTCTTTAGTTTCTTTTAATTTCCTATAATTTCTTTAAATTTTTTCCAATTTCTTTTAATTTCATCTAATTTATTTCAGTTCCCTTCTCAGTTTTCCTATGCTATAATTCCTTCAATTTTGTTAAATACTTCCAGTTCCTTTAAATTTTGTTTCTTTCAATTTTTTTAAGTTCTCACCGACTTTTTTTAACTTTCCTCGAAATTCTTTCAGTTACCTCCGAATTTCTTTCAATTTTCACCAATTTTCTTTAAATTTTCCCAAATTTCTTTCAATTTCGTCAAATTTCCTCAAAGTTTTTTCAGTTTCCTTCGATTTCTTTCCATTGTCTTCAATTTTTTTAATTTTCCTTAAACTTTTCAAAAATATTTCAAGTTTTTTTTTATTGTTCTCCCCAGGTCTTTCAGTTTTCCAATTTAATTCAGTTGTTTTAAATTTTTTCTAAATGACCCCGCACAAATCTTATGGAAATTGGGTCCCGGTCAAATTCGCTGAATTTTTGATATGTGATAGAGTTCATCATACTGGTCAATTGTCTCAATGGCCACAAAGTTTAAAAATGGATAGTTTGGCCGGTACAGAGCTTTAAAGCTCCGAGTATCCTCCACGGATTTATGTATATGCGCAGTGTGTATAGACTTCTGAAATAGCCTATTTCATTTTTTTTATTATCTAGGTTTATATTTTTGAGGTTGCTGAATTCAGATCTGTTGTTAGATTTTCAAAATTGACAGTTGGCAGCTGTCAAATAGCTGTCAATGTGCTATAATAAAGCCAAAAACTTGTTTTTTTATGTTTTATCTTTCTTTTTTGTTAGTTCGATAAGTTCAAAGGTGATATCAAATTAATAACAATGACTATCGGCAGCTGTCATTTAGCTGTCAACAAGTGCGGTAATAAAGTCAAAAAATTATTTTTTGTTTATAACTTCAAGTTTTTAAGATAAGTGAATATAAATATGATATAAAATTATGTAGTCATCAGCTTACAGCTGTCAACAAGCTGTCAACTAACTTTCAAAATGCAATAATAGAGCAAGTAACTTGTTTTTTGTGCTTAACTTTGTGGATAAGAAATCGAACATGATATAAGTTTATGACATCACTTTTGGCTTTTTGGCTTTATTATAGCACATTGACAGCTATTTGACAGCTGCCAACTGTCAATTTTGAAAATCTAACAACAGATCTGAATTCAGGAACCTCAAAAATATAAACCTAGATAATAAAAAAATGAAATAGGCTATTTCAATAGTCTATACACACTGAGCATATACATAAATCCGTGGAGGATACTCGGAGCTTTAAAGCTCTGTACCGGCCAAACTATCCATTTTTGAGCTTTGTGGCTATTGAGACAATTGACCAGTATGATGAATTCTATCACATATCAAAAATTCAGCGAATTTGACAGGGACCCAATTTCCATAAGATTTGTGCGGGGGAGTTTCTTCTGATGTCCACCAATTTTCCAATTTCTTCCAATGTATTAAAACATGTTTTATCTTACCTTTCCTGACAAAGTTTTTTCAGAAATGAAAATCACCGACATAGTAGGTTAGAATGCTGACAGCTGCTAACCATCAAAACAAATTCCCCATTTTTGTTTCTATGCACCCCGCTGTTTCTATTCACCCCAAAATACGGTACCTGTACGTATGTGTATATATATCCGGGAAAAAAGTACTTACTTTTTTCTGGGGAAACACTCTTTCCCGGAAAACGGGATCAAATGGATACTTTTAAAAATGGGACACCTAAGACCCTTCTTGGTGACGTTTATTAACGTGAAAAACTATTACTTAACAGATTAAGTACCTACTGAACCAGAGCAGTCTCTACCCAGAACCCAACACTAACTTTTAAAATAAAATTATAAAATTTGTCACTGTAGCCTTAGTTTGGATATCCACAATTGATCTGAAAAGATCGAATTGAGTGAGGCCACATGACTTACGGTCCTAATTAAATCTTGTTTGGATATATTTGGAAGATATCTGTCACATTGGCATCTTCTAAGCACTGTCCACTTAACTGGATACCGATTTTTATGGAAAGTCTTTGCCCTAGGCTAGCTTTAAAACCTAAGACGTATCGAAATAGACCATCGTTTATAGAAACACGTATATGCAATATTTTAGGGGTGTCAACTTAACTGGACGCGGTCTGTAAACTGGACGTGGGCACTAAACCTGTCAAGAGGTTGGTTATCCCTAGACACCTCTAAGCGACAACCAGATGGTTTTTGATAAATTGTTAACCTACTTTGTGAGCTGGGAAGATAGTTGTCTCTAAATACCTCTCAGCGTCAACCAGCAGGTTTTTAATACGGTAAAATGAAGGTTGTATATGCCTCTGAAGTTTACAACAATTGGCCTAATGAGGCTCTCTACTTTACAGATACAGATAACCTTCGCCAAATGTTTATTGGTTTGATTTATTTGAATATCTTTTTCTGTATACTTTTACCGACACCTGACCATTTCCTAGAAAGTAAATTAATCGTATTTCAGTTATTTCTGAGATAGTGGTACCTAACTAGCAAAATTTAAGAATCTAAAATTTAAAAACTATTAAAAAACTATAAAATTTTGTACGAAGATAAATTGGGCCAGATCCTCATATTTTAGCCTTAGTAATTTATGCTAGCGTTTAACGTTGTGCTGCATTTACTAAATTACGTTGCAGTATTTTTGCTACATATTGTTATTTAATATGTTCAGTCTAAAAATAATTTTTCGAACTTCTGGAATAATAATTATTCAAAAACTTTTTTTTAATATAAGTTTCTCTTGATTCTATTGATTACCAAATACATTGTAAACTATTAATGAAATGGTGTGACAGTAATGAAAGTTTTTACAACAGGTACCCTCAGCAAAGAAACTCCATCTTGTCCAGCCTCAGTGGACAAGCTCTTGCCGTCCAAAAAGGAAAAGAAGGAAAGTCTCGAGGCCAAACGCGAACGAAAAGCAGCCAAAACCCTAGCAATAATCACCGGAGCCTTCGTGATGTGTTGGCTACCTTTCTTCATCTTAGCCCTCCTTCTTCCTCTCTGCGGCGACTCCTGTAACATCAGCGGTTACATCATGAGCTTCGCTTTGTGGTTGGGCTACTTCAACTCCACCCTCAATCCGGTTATTTATACTATTTTCAGTCCGGAATTCAGACAAGCTTTCAAGAGGATTTTGTGTGGGGGGCATCGGGGACCACGGACTTACAGGTCGGGGAAAATGAGATAAAATAAAAAGATTTTCGTGTGTGGACCGAGCGGTGAAAAATATTGGGTTTTAGTTTATCCATGACTTAACAATTTTAAATTATCTATTTTCTATATTCCATTTGAGGAAAAATTCACTTTTCTTTTTACAATTTTATTATTTTTCAAATATTTATTTGATGAAATTGATCCAAAATGGTAAGACATTATCACAAAGGCATCTGATAAATATATGCACCTTTTACTTTTAAGGCAACTTGTTTAAAAATAACTAAAGATAAATTGATATATTAATTATGAGGATTTAAACAATTCAAAGTGGAATTTCAAAGCTTCTATAGAAGTAAAAAAAATTATTATACTCATCAAAAAATTTCCGGGTTTCTCTCTATGAAAATATAATGATACATCACTAATTTTTCATTTTATAAAAATAGTTAAAAATATTTTTTACCATGCTCAATTTTTATAAAAAAAAAATGTTTCAGAAAATTAAAAACCCAATATTTGTTCCTATATACTATTAATTAGGAAATAATATTACAAAAAGTATAATATAGGGGTTAACAATGCCAAACTACGAAAAAAATATCCATATACTCAGGTACATAGACGATTTGTGTACAAGGTGATCTCAAAATTTATTTTATTGTTTTTTTTTTAACGAATAATAGAAAAATAGACATGTTCTGAAGTTCTTGAAGACCACCATGTACATTTAGAAAATATTCGCTTATTATTTAAATAATGAATCTAAGGTTAAATCTGGAAATAATATGCCGTAATGGAGTTTAAGAAGAACAGTATCATCTGTCGTTGCTTTAAAATAAGGATGCGAGTTAGGAGGTTAGGGATTAATACGAAATTGTTCGGTAGGTATATTAAATATTGCATATGGCAACTCTGTAAGTATTCTTTACAAATTCCTGATATTGTTTTATTGTCATATTTGTTTTTTATTAATAATTCGTGGACATAATGTAAATGATTTGTTTAATTAACGTTAACAATAGTGACACGTGATTTCTATCCATTTGTATTTTTTTGGTAACTAGTAAAACTTACAGTAAATTTACAGTAAAACTTACAGTAAAACTTACAGTAAAACTTACATTAAAACTTACAGTAAAACTTACAGTAAAACTTACTTACAGTAAAACTTACAGTAAAACTTACAGTACAAAATACAGTAAAAATTACAGTTAAACTTACAGTAAAATTTACTGTAAAAATTACAGTAAAACTTACAGTACAACTTACCGTAAAACTTACAGTTAAACTTACACTAAATTGCATGATGTGTTGCCTATCTTATGACATCTTTTCCCTTATAGATAAATAAAAATAATCCAACAAATGTTTGTATATACAAAGGCGTAGAAGGACCACAATATATTTTTTTAAATTTTGAGATATAGCTCAAAATTCTGAGTCTAATGTCGAAATTTTCGAGTTTAAAGTCGAAATTAGGAGATTAGAGTTGACATTTTGATTTTAAAATCGAAGTTGCAAGATAAATGTAGAAATTTCGAGATTAAAGTCAAAATTCCGAATTTAAAATCAATATTTCGAGATAAAAGTCGAATAGTTAAGATAAAAGTCAAAATTTCGTTATTAAAGTCGAAATTTCCGAGTTTAAAGTCGAAATTCCGAGTTTAGAGTTGAAATTTTGAGTTTAAATTCGAAGTTTCTAGATAAATGTCGAAATTTCGAGATAAATGTCGAAATTTCCAGATTAAAGTCTAAATTCCGAATTTAAGATAAAATTTTTAAGATAAAAGTCGAAAAGTTAAAATAAAAGTAAAAATTTCGTTATTACGGTAGAAATTTCCGAGTTTATAGTCGAAGTTCCTAGTTTAGGGTTGAAATTATGAGTCTAAAATCGAAGTTTCGAGATAAATGTCAAAATTTCGAGATTAAAGTCAAAATTCCGAGTTAAAAATCATAATTTCAAAACAAAAGTCGAATAGTTGACATAAAAGTCGAAATTTAAAGATAAAAGTCAAAATTTCCGAGTTTAAACTCGAAATTCCGAGTTTAGAGTTGAAATTTTGAGTTTAAAATCGAAGTTGCAAGATAAATGTAGAAATTTCGAGATTAAAGTCAAAATTCCTAATTTAAAATCAATATTTCGAGATAAAAGTCGAATAGTTAAGATAAAAGTCAAAATTTCGTTATTAAAGTCAAAATTTCCGAGTTTAAAGTCGAAATTCCGAGTTTAGAGTTGCAATTTTGAGTTTAAAATCGAAGTTTCGAGATAAATGTCGAAATTTCGAGATAAATGTCGAAATTTCGAGATAAATGTCGAAAGTTCGAGATTAAAGTCAAAATTCCGAATTAAAACTCATAATTTCGAGATAAAAGTCGAATAGTTGAGATTAAAGTCAAAATTTTAAAATAAAAGTCAAAATTTCCGAGTTTAGAGTCGAAATTCCGAGTTTAGAGTTGAAAGTATGAGTTTAAAATCCAAGTTTCGAGATAAATGTCGAAATTTCGAGATTAAAGTCAAAATTTTGAATTTAAAATCAAAATTTCAATATAAAAGTTGAAATTTCTTTAATAAAGTCGAAATTCCGAATTTAAAGCTGAAACTTTAACTTTAAAGTCAAAATTAGCCTTGTCAGAGGCTATACATAAAGAAGATATATTTTCTACCTATTCAAAAGTATATACAAATCATTTAGAGCAAGTTTCGTTTTTCATTATGCTATTACCGTCAAAGACAACAGACCCACAGCTTGCCACATTATAACCTGTCATTACCCACGAGCAGCATTTTGACAAGTCGTTAAAATGCTTAATTCTTCCTTCCATTTTTTTTTTAATGTAATCCTTACTAAAATTTGTTTTCTTCTCTCAACCCTCGATATGCGTATTATTATTTGTTACTCTTTTTAATTCTATTACAGCAACCACGTGGTAATTGTTTTTTTATAATAATTCGTGGATTAATAGATTTAGTCATTTTATGTCATTAATGTTAACACAAATGACACGTGATATATCCACGTATTTGTTTCTTTACCATTTTATTCAACTGACTGTAACGTGTGTTGGCAAATACTGCCTATTATTTCCGAATTTAACTGTATATGTGCCTCAAATAATTTGCAGCACTTGGAAATTATTTTTATTACATATTTTTGACGAAAAATTATATTTAATAATAATTGCTTCACAATCTGTAAATAAAATATTATACATCACAGTTCACTTTGATTTTTGCTAGAAGGTAAAATTTAAAAAAATATATATTGTTTTTCTACGTTCATGCAAAATACAAAACTTTATTGAACTATATTTAGTGAAAAAACTGGTTTTTTATTTCACACTGGTGCAATAAAGAATTTTATTGTACTTATCTGTCATGTTACTACAGCGTTTTATGATCATTTTAGTCCATTTTTATTTTCTGTGAGATTTTATTACGTTCAAAAAATAATATTATTGAAAATTTTTAATGTTAGTGGCAAAAACAACGTTTAAGCTTAATTATTGTTCATAACACAGTTGTTCCTAGTACTTTTTCAATGTTAATCGATGCTAATTATTAGTTATTAAATATTTTGCTATTAAATTACGTTCTTTATTCTTCTGCACTTAGTGTCGCCTAAATAAAACATTTTTTGGTTTTTGCATGAACGTAGAAAAAATATTGTATGCAACTCTTGCAAAGAGTGTTTATTTCACTCGAAGTGTTTTCAATAAACACTTACTTTTTGCACTTGTTGCATAAATAACTATTTGGTGGTTATTTTATAGTGGGAATAAATGAAAAAAAAATATATTTTTTAATATAAGGTTAAGTACTTTATTCTTGCACTAATTTTTAATTTACTTCTCTTGTACATATTATTTTTTTAATGTACGAGTATTAAATTAATACTATAACACTTAATATCAAATAAGTTGTGGGTGCGGGTTTAAACAAAGTTCCTTTAACATTAATAATTTTAATCACTTAACGAAACACAAAACTAAAACGATTAACAAAGGTTATTAAGAATAAACAAATTAATAACGGGTATAAACAATAATTAAAACACAAATCTCGACCGGAAGTTAACGAACTCTTAATAGCTTAAAACAATACTGTCTAATATTATGCAATGTCTTTTGGCATTACATTGATGGCGGCGTTGCCAGCTCTCGCTTATAGCCGATTATTTTGTTACAATATCATATTTTTTCACGAAAATCAATAATACATTTTTCCATATGATGCAAACATTTTGAGACACACTGTATATATAAGCGAACTGTTTTATTTATATACCTTCAGAATCCTTATATAAGCGTAATCTAAAGGTCCGTACACATTAGCGTTAAATTGAAGTGATTGAACTACCTCTGAAATACCTATATATTTTAACACAATTATTATTCTGGACTTATGTTGCCACTATGAATTGCCACTATTGCTGTTAGGTAATGCTGCCTTGTTTTTATATGACTGGTACTATCATAAAAACATTTTTTATATAAAGAACTATACTTTTAAAATGAAATTTAAATTAAATAATAACCAAATATTTCAATAGTAAATACAAATTTTAGAACATAAAGAACATTAAACTTGAATTAACAAAGATATTACAGCTAGGTTTAAACAATAAACACAAAATTATACTGTTTATTAAACCAAATTATATGGAACGATTGCAATAGGTAGTTTAATAAAAATACTAGGTACGATAATACAAGAACAGTAAACCGCTGCCGATTTTAATACTTTAATTGGATAACGTTATAGCGTGTACTAAAAATTCCACTAAAATTACTAGATATATAAAATAAAAAACAGAAAATTTTCGTAGATTTAATACAGAATGGCGCGTAATTATGTGTTTTAAAAATTTACAAAATACTTTTTGTAGATTTACAAAAAATTCAAGGTTTCTCTGCCCTAAGTTTTGTTATTGTTGGTATTTTCTGAAAATTTCAAAAAAATCTGACTGAAAGTAAAGGAATTCTAAATTTCTAAGGTTGCTCAATTTAAACTATACATAAAATTCAATTTTATTTAATTTTTTTTATTTCAATAAATTAATACCACATCATATAATTTGTTTATTTTAACAAGGAAATACTCAGACAAATATGCATTTATACTAAAATAATTAAATAAAATCAGCATGTATAGTGCTCAAGACATTTAAAAGAGTTTTGCGACGTGGAGTGACAAATAAGTTTTAAAAAATTAAAGCTTAAACCCGAGAATCGATAGGTATTCTCGGCTAAAACATCGTACT